AATGCAACTCGCAGTTAGCGTATATACGATGGCTAAAGTGGAAAACCGATATATCGTCCATCAGAAGCGAGCCAGCATCGGCCAAGCAGATAACAAGGAAATACAAAGGACCCAATCTGATTGAAGTAAAGTAAATAAACGAAACAAATAACAATGCTTTTTTTCTTATTTTATACGTTTTCGATCAGCTATGCCCACGCCACAAATTATGTTGGGCATAACTGTTTCAGATTTCTAAGCAATACCAGCTTTCGGTACTTACCTAATTAAACGGTGCATTATGTACATAAATACCGCTTTCGTATTCTTCATTACACTACTTTTTCGTATGATCTCAATAGTTTTGGTGTCTCGGAAAAAGTGGTATGTTTGCAGGAAGCCACTGTAAAAACATTTTGAAATTTTTTTATATTTGGTATTTATTGTAAAATTAGTATAAATAGATAATTGCAAAAAAATACTATAGTTTAAAAAAATATTAATAAATTGTCGCAGTTTAAGAAACTTTTTGGCATAATTATTTTTAATAAATGGTCTGCTTATTTTCATAAATGGAACGCAAACAAAGTGGTCTACTAAATTCAGAATTGGAGCATTAAAACCGTTTTGACGGGTTATAACATATAGAGACCCCGTTTTGGGATCAGTTCCAGATGCACTGAGCTGTGAGTTGAATGAAGCTCCTACTTAGTGGGAGAAATAACAAGGAGACTTTGAATATGAAATGGCTATATCTGAACTATGTAGACTGCGTTATCACTGTCAGAGCTGCGTTTCCCTTAAACTCAGGAAAAGTTTACCCAATTTCTGATTCAAAAGATTCTTGAAACAAACGTAACAAGTGCACACGAAGAAGTGAGAAATATGTTCTTTAGAATACTTGGCAAAGTGGTGAGAATAAGGAGCAGAAGAAGTTCGCAACTCGACGTCATCTAGAGTCTACACCAGAATTTAGAGCTAGAAGTAGAAAGAACTCTAGAAACTTGCCAAACATCTTTCACTCTAAAAGTTCTTAAGTTAACTCAAGTTTTGCCTGCGAATCCTCATTCTCATCTGCCTTTCAAGGCTAAATTTCTATATCCCGGATATTATGTGAGTAGACATACAGAAGGTACAAAGAAATTAAATAAAAAGTATCAATTCGGAACCAGTATAGTTCTGATACCGCACTTCATCTCAAAAGTATTAAAGTGTCGTCTAACCTTTCTCACAACTCACTCATCGCTATTACCTCAATGTAAAAAACAAATCCACGAAAATGTCCAAATTTCCAAAACTACTTGTTAGTTTGTAGTGCACGGATTTATTATTTGATGCCAAATAACTGCCGCATAGTATATGGTATAATATAACGCCCATCGCACCAAAAACACGTAAACCATTCACTGCCGGACAAGCGTCTGTGCCACTCGGGTCAGCAGATTTGTTCGTTGGGAAAAGTAACTCCCAATTGTTTTGAACATCAAAACATTCAATATATCCATTACAGGTTAATTTTGTACTAGTTTGACTCTTCGTTTCAAAATCATCGGTCGTTGATTTCGTTCCATTTGCAACCACCTCAACCGTTTCGCTATTACGCGTCATACGTTGCCCCAAAGCTAGAAATGTCAGCAGCAATGTCAGTAAACAGAAACCGATAAAAATCATCGTCGAAGGCCTTGTAAAATAGCCTGCACGTAATTTTAAATCCTTCACACTTTCAACACGCAGACGCATATCATAAATATCATTCGAGACAAATAGATCATCCTTCACGTAGGTGTCCATTAGTTGACCGATCTCGGCTATTGTGCAAGCGCTTGGCAAACATAGACCAATACTTATGCGCGGTTCATATAAGATATAAACTGGATCCATTTGCCATGTGGAATTGTGCCACAAATTGACGACACGGAAGTCCGTAGGAAATGGCGCCGTATCTATCAATATTTTCGGATTCATTTTATGTGGTATATGTGTGGATAATTTAAGATTGACGGGTGTTTTTACAGCATTACAGGTGTCACGACTGCCTATCCAGAGGCCATTGCCCATTATGAATCCAGGCTCTTTAAATCCGGACGAATCATACACTATGAGGAACATAAAAGAGTGGTAGAGAGTTAGGAAGTTAATAAATATTATAGAACTAGGTGCATATACGAGCGGTAATGTTTCGGTTCTACGAATACTTTTAAAAATTTATAGAGCAGTTGTTGTTATGATTACTATATGCTAGTGGCTTCTTCCATAGTATCTACTAATTAGGGGAATTGCTGGGAATACTAAAACAAAATCCTTCAATGCAGGGCCTTAAAGTCAAAACTTATATCTACATATTTGGGGCTTAAAGCTGTCACGATAATTCTATAGTACAAATCCTTTGTTTCCAGCTTGTATAAAAGTTTCGGAAGATTTTTCTGTTAAAAATTGTGTTACTATACCTCATAAATAAAAACTTAGTCATTTTACTAAAACTCATGTTACCCTTCCTCTATTTGGCTATCTGCCATGATACTACAAATATTGCGAAAGATATTAAAAAATACTATATTTTGGGTATAACTAACCGATCAAAGGACGAATTACAAATTTAATCTTATTAAGTTCCAAGAAATTCCACATTGGTGTCATGAAAGCATATTTTGCAAGTGAAAGATTGAACAGTTTTGTTACTTAAAATGATGATAATATTTTCCTTAATTCTTCATAATTTTGAAATTTCTCGAGGCGCCGGTAATTTTTTTCTCTTGTCCTGCGCCCATCCTACCATTTACAAAAGCCACTTAAATCTGCCTTTGCTATAGAATCATGTCATAAAAGACTAAAAATGATTTAAAGAAGAATAACGAACTTATCCTACAGTTCTATATAGTTCCGTTGAGCATCATATTCCTTAATCTATGTCATTGGTTGTGAAAGAAGCACTTACTCTTCATGGCCCAGGGCTGTTGCATTAGTATAGCCTTCTGTACTTCCTGGAGTTGCGTATGCAGTTGTGGCTTACCATATTCGGACGACTGATGACTGTCAGGCCGAAGATTTGACGAACGCTGCATTAGTTGGTATGGTCCGTTAGGACCCACTATTTTCACTGTGTACTACGCAGCAAGTAGTGTGAATAACACCAGCACTTGATAAAGCTTACTTGTAACATTTGACAATTTTATTTTTTGTTAATTTTTAAGAATTCAATAATATTCGAATTCGATATATTGTCTTAGAACAGTGTTAAGTCCTTTTATATCTTAGAGTTAAATTTGTTTCTTTGGAATTATATATATTTACATATAATATCCTTTATTTACAATTTCACTTTATGTTCCTTTGTGGGAGTTTATCAGCGTCTGGAATCCTTTAACTTCCTTTTTGAAAATCTCCACACTCACTCTCACTTTGAAAATTTGAACCTGTCCGTCCATGGCTCTATTATTTTTCACTTCCCGCTTAACGAGATAGAAATCTAAGCGCCTTAACGCTATACGCGAACTGTCACTAAAAGTTTTACACACTATGTATATACGAATCGGCTATTTAGAATGCGGTGACTAAGAAACTATTTTAACTCCGATTTTCACATTTTCGCATAACAAGTTTATTTTGCGTGTATTGTTGTATATAAATATATGCTCCTAGCCTAAGCTAATGGTATTACGCAGTGAAAAGTTGAGCATTCCTAGTTTTGCAAATTGACCCTAACCGTGAAAGCTAAATAGTTAAAGGTCATTTCAGGAAACCCAGATGTTCAGGTATGAAGAGAATATAATTCTAAGCCCATATGTATTGGTATGGTGTAACAAAATTTAAATACACAAATATTTAACGATTTTGCATAAAACAACTTGGGCTTGCGCAACTAATTCAATTTATCACTAAGCAAAACCTATTTCAGTAATAATAACTGGTATATTTCATTACACAGTTAGGGCTAATATTTGTTAGTGAAAGTGACGATAGAATAACTATAGATTAATTAGTAACTTAGCTAATGAAGGCAGTATAATGAAAACCTTATACTCGAAGAATTCAACAAAGATTGGCAATACTTTTTAATAATTTTCAAAATATGTTGTATAGTATACATTACGGTTTAATTTGAATAGCTACGCTAATTCTAAAATTTATTTATAAAATCCGCAGAATTCCGGCAAACTAGCTAAGGTTATGCGTACAGTGTATGGATACCGAAATAAAAGAAAATTGAGAAAAGCATAATTAATGCATATGACAAAAAAAACAGCTATTTAATATGCGCTTATGATTGTAACGCTGTCCTGGACAATAGTTTATTCGAAATTTCGTGAAGATATCTTGTCAAACAAAAAGATTTCCATACAAAAATAGATTTTGTTCGATCAGTTTGTATGGCCGCCAACAAATGGGTAGCTTATTGGAGAGAAAGGACACATACAAAATTTCAGAACGATATCTCAAAATAAGCAGACGGTCACGTCTATCCACTCAGCTCACATGTGATCATTTATGTATATACACATATACTTTATAGGGTCTCCGATTTTTCTTCTGAGTGTTACATATTTCGTGACAGATTTAAATATACCTGGTCAAGTATAAAAATACAGTATTGTGACCTTAAAGTACAATTGGGCTAAATTTCGCACTTTAATATCGCTAAGCTTAAGTCAACAAGAAAAAAGTGTTAACTTCGTTGTGACCGAAGCTGTAATACCCTTCACAAAATCGAATGTTTCTACAAGAACTTGAGTCGATCGGCAATTTTGTGGCAGCTATATAAACAATAACTAGTGCCTATACCTTGTTCAGGGTATAACAAGACTTGTTACCTAGTTCGCGTCTCAAATTTTTAAATGAATTATAGTCAAACTTAACACTATCGGCACGCTCTTAGAATAACAATTGTCTTTTCTTTTAACGGAATTAGCAACTCATCTCGTTTAATGACTTGCAGTCGATGAGAACAATTACGAGGTGCAAAGTTTATATGAAAAAATATGTAAATATAAAAACATATTTATATATAATATTTGTACGCAAATATATAACACTTGCAATGTGAATCAATTGATTCAAACTAGAAACGGTGGCGTCTAATGAATTTATTTATTTCATAATAGTGTATTTGATTGACAGTATTTGCTCGCAAAAGAATAGATCATGAAATATGCGTGCAATTAAAATGTCGTTACAAAATTAAGTTGTTTGATTTTGGTTTCTTTTAATACCCTAAAGGGTATATTAGGTTTGCCATGAAGCATCTAACACTCAGAATAAAACATCTGAGACCCTAGAAAATATATACATAAATTATGAGCATGATGAGCGGAGTTGATTTAGCCATGTCCGTCTGTCCATCCGTCTGTCTGTATATATACAAACTAGTCCCTCAGTTTTTAAGATGTCGATCTAAAATTTGCACCTGTTCTTTTCTCACTAAGAAGCTGCTCATTTGTCGGAACGGCTGATATTAGACCACTATAGCATATAGCTGCCATTACCAAATTTTAACTTTACGTAATAGCTTCACGAAATTGGAACGAGTAATTGTTTAAGGCAACATGTATTCTTAGAAGAAATTGTTCAGATCAGATCAATATATCTATAGTGTCAATACAAATTAAACAATCGGAATCAAGTTCTTGAGAGAAATATTTGGATTTGTGAATGGTCATTATATCTTCGGTGCAACCGAAGTTAACTTTATGTTTAGTAGTACTAGTATTTGTTACATTGAAATCGAAAGACTTATGGAAACAGATGCAATGTTTACGAAAGAGTTGGCAAAATCAAGTACAAACTTTGTTAGGTATAGTGACATCAGTGAAAAGACAAACTAAATACCATGTATATTATAAATTACTTTCTTATGTATTACACCTGTTATCTTTACTATTGTTATTTTACATACTTACATTTTGTTATCGAAGAACGTCTTTGTGTAAAATGTTCCAACAAACTTTATATGCTAGCTTGTTCTGAGACATTAAAATCCAGTTATATCAGAACCACATTAGCCATAGAGTTAGACAAATTTTACATCAAACAAAATACAATAAAATGTGGCTGTCATACAAGCTAGAAGTTCTTTTATGAAAAATTTTTTATTTGAAAAATATCTTCTACGATTTCGGTATAGTTATTGTCCAAAGCACTGTTGTCACCGACTGCGGACCATAATAAGTAAACAACTTTTTTGGTAAGTTAGCAAGCGCATCAAAATATGTCCGACGGTTTTGACTTTTAAAATGCGAGGGAACGTAATGTTCAGCAATATATGAACTAAACACTTTCTTTTAACGGGTTTCCTTCAGACATAGGTTTTCAATGGCTAACCTATGCCGGAGTTGGTCTTTTTGAAAGCTTTCCCGATTATCTACTCAGTTGGCTTGCATTTCATATAACAACTTACTCCGGAGCAAATTGTCAAATTTATTACAATTATAATAGTACGGTTTTCGCAGCGCTCTACGCCTGATATTCGGTCGACATAATCGCCCAGCATGGATCAGTTTCGCACCTACATTACTCGGGTGGATAATGCATATCCTCAGAGCTGCCGTCAGTGCGCAACGAGGACCCTATTTGCCGGGAGCACCTGTCGAAGAAGGCTGGAATAGTCCATCCGCCATCAGGACCCAAATTGGAACCATCTATATGGAAGATTTTGTGAAGGATCTTAGTTGCGGCCCTACAATCAAATTGTTGCAAAGTAATTAAAAACCGAAAGCCATCAAGCGCGTCGAACGTTACGTGATGGCCAAAACCTTAGCAGCCGCTCTTTTGGCTTACTCCACCCAATATTAACAATTGTTTGACATGTTTCCTTCAATTGTTGGATAACTGTAATAGTATTTTGAAACAAGCATTTTTACATGAGAATTATTGACCAAGCACAACTTGTTATAAAGTGTACTGTCAACATTGTAACGTCAATGGACTATTAACGACTTACTTGTAGTTAAGAAATCTTTACGATGGTCTAACGATTGTTGAACGTGATCACTTAACGAAATTAAAAATGTATTTCTGCTATACTTTTTCTTATACTTATTAATTTCAGTATGATTGAAAAAAGCGATAATGCGGTTTTCTTACTAATACGCGTCGGAAATAAAATATTAAAATATTATAATAATTATTCTGCATTCAACATATTTGCATACTCATAAAACATGCGTGCAGGGGTTTGTTATTGAACGATATTGTGTTTATTCTTCTAAATGGAAATGTTTTTATCGTTAATGCTCTCTAGTGGATAATTAATTAAGTGCTACAATATTTTCCGAAGAAATGCCAACTGGCACAGTGGTTGATTCTTAGACCTTTCGCTTTTGCACCACGATTTGCTTCCAAGCGTACATCCTCGCAAGTAGACGTTGTACTTTATTTACCCAAAAAAAAACAAAAACAACTTATCATACATATCTACAAATTTCATATGAGAAACTTCTTTCTTTTTGTTTTTTTTCATTCATGATGCTCATTTTTGTTCCGAACACAATTGTCACGGATGCTGCTTGGTTCGTTCATAAATCATGAGACATGGATGAGCGTTTCAATACGAGATATTCTCATTCTTGCTTCCTTATGCCATTTGTAATTTGATTTTTTCATTTTAATGCGCGTTTGTTTTAGCCTTGTGAATGGTTAAATTTGGATTTTACTGATTGATAATAGATTGCTATGCCAAGAACAGCGCTAGAATGATTTCGCTTAGTGGCGAGAGGTGATTAATGAATTTCTCTGCTTTAACTACAAGCTGCAAAATTTATTCCGTTTCTAAAATCTAGACCATGGTATTTGCTCTAAGCATAAGATGAATATGGTTACATTAAATCATACAGAAACCGAAAACTAATTTGAATTATCGTGTTATTACTTTCGATTTTGTTTGATTCTTTTTGATTTGCTTTAATCATTATTTTTATTCAATGCCAAAAACATTATTTACCGCTCAGCAGCGTTTGCAAATTTTTTAATTAAAAATTGATGTATATATATGATACAAGATTTAAATTGTACTTTAATCAAGATGTGGATGTTGCTGTGCATGTAACAATGCAAAAATACGAAATGCAGC